GCACAAAGTAACGACTTTTGGCTATCTTAGTGATCACTGAATACACATACTCCATAGCCAAATAGCTGTGGAACTTGAGGAGAAAACATGATATAAGACAGAGYTGTAAAATGAAGATGAAACTTTTTGTGTGTACGTTTATTTACACAGCAGGCCATAGTCTCTAGTCCAGTCTCAGGTCGAGTTCATACACTAGGGCATATGGTTCTGGAAAGTCCTTTTACTCAGGAGTCATGAGAGGAAACATGAACCTGGATCCTACACTGAATAGGTTTCCACACTTCTTTGCTTTTCTGGTGACTCATACATAAGTGTTGGTCCTTTATACTGTATTTTTGCCTTTWAAAAAAATCCTCATTTATATTTAGGTTTGTTATATTCTGCTGATGTGAATTTTGGCAGCTGTACTCCGGCAACATTTAGTTGGGCACGTGCTTGCCTTCCTTGCATGCAGTATTTCATCAGGCAATATATGAATGGCTGTATAGAAACCGCTGAGCACAGAAGCTTTGTGGTAAACACGTTCAAAACTTTTTMTTTCAAGTTTACAGTTTGTTCTCATTCAGACATTCACTCTTGATTTCTCAGTAGGTTTGAGGGTAATAGATGGTATTTGATGTATGATGTTCTTTCCCCCTAGAGAAATGTCAAATTTTTAGATGATGACTCACAACCAGTTATGAAATCAGCTATATTTTTGCTTCTTYATTGTGTAAAAAGTAGATACAGAAAAGACTGCAGAAACAGATTTGGGGGCTGCCTCTAGCTGTCGGTGAAGTATCTGTTACCCCACTTATATCTATGACTGATAGATATCAAAGCAATAGATGCATGGATTAGCTTATGAATTCTAARTGGTCCTGCTATGTCAAATGTTTTGCCCTGTTTAGTGAGATGAGGAGAGAGGATGTAATTGCAACACGTAAGTTGCGTGCAGTGGACTCCACATGAGCATCCATCTCAAATGCCAGAAGGGATGCTGCACTCACTATTTTATTACAATGCCCCATCCAAGGAGTCAATATTTTCTTGCGTGTTGTAGCAGGTGTTCACTCTGCAGCCTCATGTGCAGTTGTAAAGCTGGAAGGAGATACTAGCAGCTTTTGGCCAACCTGTCAAGAAGTTGCATAACTTCTGCTGAATTTGCTGTGTCAAGCAAATGGCTTCAAATTTACAGAAGGTAGATTTAAATTGCTGCAGCTACTTCTGTCACATCACCTGTTGAGCATTATGGAAAAGAAAAAGCATCCAGCTGCTGCTTTAGTTCCTATATGGTATTTCATGTCATGAGTGTAGAAGCATTATCTCACAGGCCTTTGGTTGTGTCCTGAGAATTTTTGCTTTGTTGTCAAAGGACTCTGTGTGCAGTTTAAGGTCACACACCAAAAAAATAGCTTTCTTTTTTTTTTTTTTCTGTAATCCATATGCTTCCTTTCCATGATGGAGTATTTATCTCATCATACAAAAACATTCCAGAAGACACCGACCTTCCCAGAGCTTCCCTGYAGTTCTGGATATGTGCAGTACTAAGGGTGAGGCACCACATGTCACAGTTGTTAATTGTATAAGATAAAACTAGGCAGTGTAAGTGCTTGAGCCCTTTAGGATCAAAGCTTCCACTTCTCCAGAAGTGGCCAGAGCAACTTCCAACTAAAGTACACTAGACATTCAAGAAAACACTGCAATTATTCTTTCTGTAAATAAAACATAAATATAAATAAAATATGATGTCATCATAATGGTGACATTGAAGAGGAAAATGCTGCTTGTATATATTTAAGACTGGGACTTTTGTAATTTAGAGTCCAGGTCAGGTTTCAGTCCTTCTTGAGAATTGTATCACCAAGAAAAGGCCTCTTTCTCCTTAGTGTCAAATACAATGTGAATCTTCCTTCATTTTAAGCTTACTGCTCCTGGGCAGTATCCTCCATGGGCACTGTTCCTGCTCTTTTTTGCCTCTAAAGTAYAAGGATTTTATCATTCCTCCCTTCAAACTTTCTTTGCCTTGCTAACTAACCCCACTTCACTCAGCCTGCCCCCTTTCCTGAACTTCTGCCTTTCCTCTTTGCAGGCCTTTCTCCTGCAGGTCCTGCTCTTTGTTCTCCAGTGCTACTCTACATGTTAAGTCTTCCCTATAATGAGTGGAGTATGAAGCCTCCCTCCCATGTCATAATCTACACACCTTTTTATTCCTCTGCTTTCCCCAATGCCGGGTTATTTGGCTGTCTGCAGTTAACCATCCGCTTTTCTACAAAGCTGCATTTGATATTCCTCAATATTTATACCGCCTTACCCCCATGCTTAGCGATCTGTACGTGTTCTTCTCCTTTGCCCAGACCCTTCTGCATGTTGACCTTGTCCTCCCATGCTTGCGGTCCCCTCACAGCTTGTTGCTGCCTGTAGGTTTTGGTGTGCCCATGGGAATTTCCAGGGAAGGCTGTGTGCTCCTCAACGTGTTTGCTTTCCCTAGAGCTGCCAAGAGCTSTCTCTAAGTGCATGCTCCAAGCTCTGGCAACTAGTTCCCTGAGTTGATTAGGTCTTATAAAAACAAATTCTCCTTTGTGGTTTAAATRTATTGCCTCTTGGTGTAATTGAGTCTCTCCTATTGCTCCTTTTGATTACAAGTGAACGGGTAAGCATTAGATTTGCTCTTGGAAGCACATTGATTACTTTCAATACCCTGCCATGTCCCTTCTTATTTGCCTCTCCCCTTGCTGGCACTGGGAGCAGAACTGTCAGTCCATTTTCTCACAGATTTTTTTCCCATGCTTCTAATTGTTGCTCTCACATCTGTGGGGCCTCCTGCTAGATTCCTGCTACCTGCTTTGAAGTAGGATGTTCAGAAAGAGATTCAGGCCAAGCATGACCTTTACATTTCAATATTATTAATCTCTGCTATCCTGCAGGTGGCATTTCTGGTTTTGATTGTTACTCCAGGGAGGAAAGGTTTCCAAAGAGCAGTGAACAAGCTCATGCATTTTCCAAAGAAACTGTAATTACTACAGAAATGTAGCAGAAGAAAGTAAGTTATTTCTTCATGTAATAGTTACCATATGCTTATCAGTTTTGTTTAACAGATTTTGAGGAATCTCTAGATGCTGTTCTTGAAACCCATGGTGGGTGTAGAGAGCCACTGTCCGCTATGGGAGCCCACTATCAGTTGCCCACAGCACAATTCTCATGCAGAACCAAGTAAAACTTGATGGTGTGACACAGGCCAGAAGTCCCACTGCTGTGCTTTTGTATCATTATCTTGTATTTATTTGCATTACCATGTGCATCTCCATAACTTGTATTTAGCTTAGCTGTTTCTTCCAGAAGGACACCCTTCTTCAAATACTTAAAGCAATGGAGAAGTTGGCCCTCCCTTTGGTAGGTTTCCACTGATTTTTGACAGTACAATGATCAATGGCACTCAGTCACTGAGTCCTGAGCAGCCTCCGTGGGTCTCCCACTCGTGCCCCCTGCCCTTTCTGCTCAAAMCAGGAGCCTGGCCTTCAGTCATGGAAGCTTGTGGAGCAGCTCCACTCATGCTGTTCGCTGACAAGCAGCATGCCTACCTGTTCCTCGCTGTCATCTCTGCACCATATCATCATCCGTTGCCCTCTCAGCAATGCCAGCACCATGGCTGGCAATGTCGCAAGCACAGTTTCATGATATAACCAAGCCTGACTAGAGCTTAGGGCCTGGTGCACGSAGCAGACCTGCTATTCCTTGTTCAGGGCTAGATGTTACCTCCTCTCCAGATCCTCARGTCGTCAGAATCCAGACATGACGTTTAGAAGGCTAAACAGCGAAAAATTAGCTTATTGCATCACAAGTGCAAGATCTTATCTATGTTACAGGAGACTGGAACCTCTGGAAGTTTCTAGTCCTATCCCAAGTAACAATTCAGAGCAGGTTGCTTAGGACTTAGTCTAGCTGGATCTTGAACACCTCCAGGGATGGASACAGAACAGCCTCTCAGGGCAGCCTCCTGCATTTCTTGCCTGTCTTCCAAGCAGAAAAGTTTCTCCTCACATCCAGCCTGAAATTCTCTTGTTTCAAGCTCTATCCACTGTCTCTCACCCTCCCACCACACCCTGCTGAGAGGAGCCTGGGTCTGGCTCCCTGATGACTCCTCATTGGTGCTGAAACTGCCCCTTCCTCAGGCTGAGCAAGGCCAGAACCCCTGTCCTCTCCTCAGTGGTCAAGCCTTGGTGCCTCTCTGCTGAGCTTGCTCTAGCTAATCTCCCTTTCAGGCTCTGGGAGGGGTCCAAACCTAAGCACAGTATTCTAGATGTGTGCTAACAAAAGCCGGACAACTAATCACTTCCTTCTCTCTATTTGCCAAAGTCCTTTTTTTAATAGAGTCCAAATCTGAAACTTGCGCAGTTAAAAACACATACACACAGTAGCTGTTTAATACCTTGTGTCTTCTTCCCACAAATGTCTCCACCTATTGAAAACAAATCACCCCACTCCCTAGGGTGCAAACACCAATGATTGCACCACAGTCCTAAAGGTGCAGACATGTAGATCATCTCTCATGATTCCTTTCTGCTTTATGACATCCAGTAAGGTAAGACTGAAAGAATAGTTCATCTCATCAAATAGTGCCAGTAACTGTAGTGCTTGCTCCACCTCCTTCAAAGTTCTTTGGATCCATCATACTTAACCCTTTTTTATATTCAAACTAATTATTCAAAATAAAAAAACATTAACATATCCACAAAAACTTCAGTATCTTATCACATTTTTTTGAGATGTATATCCCAAAAGTGTAGAAAAAGATATTATCTTATGAAAAGGGCAGGCTTATCAACATGATCATTTCTTACTAAAGAGGAAATTGTAAAAAGGAAAATGAATAATTGGAAGTATTAAAAAGTTACCTATATCCATTTGAATGAGTTTCATTGAACAGATTTGGAACCAGACAATGGCATATTATAGCCCAATGAACTCTGGTACCTGCTACAACAAAAAATCACAACAAAAAGTGTTAATGATTGCAAATTTATTATATGGAACAGTCACTTCCAGACAGCTGAGTCACATAATAGACAATCTAAACAGGAAGTTTCTTTTCTTTGTATAAAGAAAGTCGTCAGCCTGGTAAACGGACCCACGAACTTCATACTTCATGATATTCTGAAACAAATTGAACAACAACAGACTATGTTAAGGTGTGGATCTGGATGCTATGCAATATTCATAGAAATGGTCTGAAACCTAGCTCCAGAAGATTAAACTTGAAAATTTGGGTAAGTAGGTATCCAGATCTGTTATTTATACTCATATGTGAATCCTTCCTCCTCACACAGCTCTCCTCTCTCTGCCTCTCTCCTCTCTACGTCACTAGAAGCACTAGAAACTTAGTCCATCTGTYCTGTGTATACCACCCCCTGCATTACTCTACTGCTTCTCATACTAGCTATGAAACATTTGCTGCACACATGGGGGCCTAAGAACACAAGAAGGGCTCTCCTGGCTCAGACCAAAGATCCATCTGGTTGCACATCTTCATTTGGCAGTGGGAAATGCTGGATGCCCAGGGCACACATGTAGTGATGCTGCTGCGCAGTATTCTTCCAGTCTCTGGTTTCTGTCCTTCTAAAATGGCTTAATCTTGAATGTACAGCAATAGTGTTCTTTAAGAAGCAACCCTTCCTGACAGACATCGAAGCAGTTCTGAGATTGCAGTCAGAAAAGGATGCTTTTTTATTTTATAGTTTTTAATTTTTTTTAGTAGGGAAAGTCGCATGGCCTACTTACCTCTGTCTTCAATAGTTCTTCCATTTCGAGGCTGAAAATTTTAATTAGATGGTCATACAGAGGTATTAGACATCCAATTCGTAAGCACACTCAAATACATCTCATGTCACGCRGACAGAGCACATAAAAAGGGTATAACAAGATTGCCTGCAAAGGGCAGCAAGTCAAATAGCAGGGRGATCCATGTAGGGTGGGTTTTGCCTTTGAATCTGTTGGATCTTCACAAAGCTTCTGACTTAACACCAAACAATCTGACTTCAGTTATTCTCATTAAGTATCTTGGTCCCACTTYATCAGGTACTAAGTAGACGTTTAAAATAGAGTACATAAATGCCATGATTGAAAGTAGTTGTCCAGACACATTTGAAATTGAACTAAAAAGTAATAGACAGATGAGCTGTGACACTGGTCATCTGTCAAGATCTCCTTTTTATTTTTTTTTCTTCTCTGATGTGCTAAAGATGGTAATATAAATTAGTTGGGTTTTAATAACATACTGCATCTATACAGGCAAAATCAAAACAAAATTAGGGATGTCATCTTTCACTGAAATTTCAGCCATTGCATTAGACTATGCCGAAGTTAGGCAATGGGTGAATATTTAGTGAAAGATGATATCCATAAATTTGCTTTGGGTTTTCATCATGCTATAGAGTGCACCACAGTTTACTGGTTTATTAGACTGCTTTATTATTATTTACATGGTTTATTRGACATGTTAACACTCAGCTTATGCGTATGCTTGCTTGGTGAATTTGGTACCTGTGCATATGGGCAGTCTCAGARATGCAAGACACATTATTTCCTATAWTTSAGTAGTTGGGCTCAGAACACAACATTTGCAGAATTATCTATCTAAATGAAAAATGTTAATCTATTGACACCTAAGATCTCATTATCTCATGGTCTTTTATTTGAACCAGGGCTTCCTGAGCAATGGCTCCCAAAGCTTTCAAAACAAGGGATATTTAGTATCTGCTGAAAACAGGGCAGTGCGGACCTGTGAAGGTAAAGTTACTCATATATAATTATATAATATAGTATGTTATTTGGTATTTTAAAAGGAAAAGATTCAGATACCCTGAAAAGGAAAAAGGGTCGTCCCAGAGTCCCATGACTATCCTGTAAAATAAAAGAAAAACTATTAACAAAATATTGTAATCTCAATACCATACATCTGTTGACAAGGTCCAGTGTMATTCCATAAGAATATTAATAATTCATGGCCTTTTTTGGCACCATGCACATAATGAGAGGATGCTAGTCCCCAGTGCCYATTCATCTGCAATGCTGATTAAAAATCAATACCCCAAAGGGACTGCCAAGAAMTATACTTTGTCTAGTGTAAATATATTAAATAGCCATAATTCATGATTTCCAGGCTTTAGAAAGTGTATAAAAGGAAGCTTTATACACAGTGGGTTGCTTTGCAGAAGCAGGGGCAGTGCAGATCTCAACCATTWCAAAAAAATGGGCTGACTGAAATAAAGCAGCAAAATAGACAGGGGAAGGACCATACTCCCCTGCCCACTGCCTCTTGCTTGGCATTGCATTTACATACCTTCTTTGTAAACTCTGCTGCAGCRATCTGTGATTCCTGCAAGGTGACAGCACATGTTAATCAAGATGCTGTCATTTCTTTGGTTGCTTACAGTAAACCTCTACCACTGCTTAAGTTGCTACAACACATGCAAGAAAAAAGTATACATATCACAGACAGCTTTGTCAATAACAGCAGTAAATGACTCTGTTTAAAGACTTATTAAAGTCTTAAGTAGGGTYACTTTAAGAGCTTTAGCTCATTGCTCCACTTGCATTCATTGCCATAAAACGCAGCACAGTTGTGCTCTGGAGGATGAAGCAGAGCTTGGCTGAGAAGACCACAGAAGCATCATCCATGAGGCCCAAATTATACTGATGGCTCTTCTCTTGTTAAAATATTTTGTGGCTTTTCAAGTTGCCCTTGTTTTTAAACCCAGGCATGACCACCATTCCTAAGCTCTGTCCCTGCAATGTGCTGTTCTCCAGGGAACTGCTCATTTGCCTACTCAGGAAGAGAAACCTTCTCAAGATGAGCTGGGTAGATACACCAGCMAATGGGCTTCGTACCTGGGGTGGGCTTGAGGAAATGGCACATGTAATGAGCAAGGATGTGAAGGCAGAGCGGAGAACATGGGCAAAGGATGTGGATGGGAAGCTGGAGAGAAGGAATATTAACAAAGAAAGGGAGTCAGCATTCGAGGTATGAGACAGATGTGATTGCAATGTGGCTGCATTTTGAYAGTACCTTTTGATTCCTCTGAAAACACCATCCACAAGATTTAACAAGATGAAAAATTGAACCCCAATATTCTATTTAGTTCTTTCAAAAGATTAAGGAGCTCTAGAGATAATGCTCAAGTCCTATTGACATCCAAATTTTGTCTGACTTCAGCTTTCATGGAGCTAAGGCACCATTCTCTCCATTAAAACACTATCTTCTCTAATCTGTAACTCTGATTCAATCAAAATTTAAAAAGACAAAAGAAAAGAATCCATAAATATAGAACCAGGTAGAAAGTTCAGGTGCAACTGAAATCTGTAGTAAATCATAACTCTTTCATTGGGAGCACTATATATAGACTTGTATTTGCAAGGTTTCCCCAATGTTCCTTGTGGGTTGAAGAAATACAGCTTTGTGTTGTAACAGATCAGAGCAACCAGGAAAAAAAATAGCACATTTTACATAGCTTTTTACACATCCCACATTTAAATCTGATCTGCCATTTAAACACAACTGGAAATCCTGCCACAAGTGACTGTCCAGCAGATATTAGTCTTGAAAAGGCACTACATGGGACACAGCTCCCTGTCCAGCGGATTCATGGCACAAGCTGAAGTTTTGGCAAAGTTAGTCGTGCACTACCAAGCAGGAAGAAGGTTCTGTGCAGAGCTACTGGATGCTTTGGGGTGTTCCTTAATGAGCCAAGATGCACAGGCAGAGGGGTCAATACTGAACTCAAAAGGCTTACTAGATATTYGAGACTGAAATGTTATGATTTTTTGTATAATAAATGCCAGTATTGTAGAWTTTTTCTGGCTATTTTAGGAAAATATGTTTGGAATTAAGATAAACTAAAGACACTGGCAAGAAGAGATAATGAAATATGTTTCAAGATATTCTGTTATTGTCTTGAATACAAGACATTGTCTTGTCCTTGTGATTTGAAAGAATAGGGGATCCAAAAGCTCTACAATGGCGTTTGCCTTTTCAATTGAGGATAATCAGACCTAACAAAACCAGTGTGCATTTTACTGGAAAGGTTCTTGATTAATTGGGGATAATAGGAAAGTTCTGTAAAGCAAAATGACATCGGGCCAGGTCCTAATGTGCTCGATTAGGTAGGATGAGTCGTCAGTACCTTGGTAGACTTAAGCTTCTGGTTCTGATTCGGGAGCCCTGAACCTAACCACAAACTGAGTACTAAAAGTACAGTAAAGCAACTTTCATACTTTCATGTTCAGTATGTCTTTAGTATCCTGTTGAGCCAATATTGTGTATTTTGTTAGCCTATTTAATTAGGCTAACAATTAGTCAAAAGTAAAGGTTAGGTTAAAATATGGAGCCCAGTCTTAAGCAGATGCATTGCTTCTTGAGCCCTAAATTGGTGAAATAAAAACTACATAAAAACAGTAATTTKATGTGTAATTTAATAGAGCTAACAATTACATTTAAATTACTAACATGAATAAATAGTCTCATATACTTCCTGGTTACTGTCCTATGCTTCCTAAACCACRATGATATCAGATTATACTTTAATCTAATCTATATTATATAATATTATGTTATTAGATTATATATCATTTGGAGAGAAATATTAGGAAATTGGTTTTGGCCCTGCTTTCTAGCTTAAAGGAGGGAATGCTTTTAGGTAAAAGAAGCAATTACACCTTACCTCATTTGTATGCATGCTGTTAAATATGGAGTAGCAAAGATCCAAAACAGTACTGGAAATCTGAAAAATCAAACAGCGCTTTAATGCACATTTACTGATCGGGTGTAATATACACAGTTCTACAGAAAACAGGCTTGATTCCAACCTCAACTCAATTTGAAAGAACTGAGAGCAGAGTCAGACTCCCTGTTATGAGACGAATAACAAAAAATCCTATGAGGAAACTGGATATAACATTACAAATGTTTTCAATACATTCTTGTGCTATAAAGAGACTTTAATCAGGCTTACATTTAAAGTACATTTCCCTGTGCTAAGCATTTTAGAAATCTTTCCGGAAATAATTTATCTACGTTCTTTTTCACCAATAATCAACTCAAGCAATCAGTACTCCCATATAAGCCTCTATAACCATACGCTGAAATCAATAACATGTCAGAAGCTATTCGCTATATATGTATTCGAATTCGAAACACAATCCTTTGTGTTTCACAAMGATGATTTTATCACTTCCAAAGAGCTGGAAATAACATCCCTGTTGGTTGCAAGGGGAAGAAGGAAAAGGGGATCAGTTTTAAATACGATGTCTCTGGCCAGGAACACTTGTCATAGCAGAACGGAGGAGCGCAGGAGTCGCGGGCAGGGCCAGGAGAGGCCCCTTAGCCTGCCGAGCCCTTCACGCCGTACCTGCGGCTGGTCGGACAGCTCCATCCACTGACTGAAGCACAGCGCCAGTTGCTTGAAAAGTAAAGATCGCACATTAGCAGCGGGATTCTCACACCTTGCCAGGTGTGTTTTGGCATGGGGGCTCGGGATGGGCCGGTTATTGCCTCCCGCTGGGCCCGCACCCCATCGCCCGCATGGCTGGGCACCTTCTGGCCGTGTCTCTATGTCTCACCCAGCTCTGCAGGCAGCAGAGCGGCTCAGGACCCACCACCGCGTCCACTGCCCCGGGGCCATCCTAGGTCGCTGTCCTCCCGGGACACGTCTCATTCCCCGCTTGCTCGGCCAGGCGGGAGCAGGCAGGCTTGGTCCCTCGCTTTAAGCCCGCGCTACCTTCGGGGGGGGGACGGCCGATGGCAAAGGAGAAGCAGGAGGCGGGGAAAATCCATACCTGACTTTTGGGAAGGTCGGCGCCGTCCGGGCGTCGGGAGAGCGGCTGGGGAAACCCTGCGGGCGACACAGGACAGGGGCTGC